GACCATTCGAAATGCCCAGTCAAGGAGAGGTCATCGCTCGGAATTGGCTCGAGGATCGAATGTCCAGATGATTTTCGAATAATCTGACAATAACATCGGACAACCTGTTAGAATTCAGCTGGTTTGAAAATCACTTGCTCTCGAAAAGGGCAATCGAATAAGCAAACGCCTACGCAATCGTCCAAACAATTGAATAAACAATCATCTGAATAATCGAATAATCAACTGAATAAACAATCCATTAAAGAATAGTCTGGACCACGGTCTAGACAATCGCATGGGCAATCTTTTCTCCTTATCGCTGTTGCCTCGCACAAATATTTTTGAAGCCAAAATTTCCCCTCAGACTCCCATCCTCAAACATCATCCTGCCATCTCCCCCTCCATCCCTCATCTGTGAACTTTTTCACACCTCACATTTCCCGCAATGGCAGCGCTCGACCCAGACCATCATGCCATCAAGATGACTCTGGATCTCAAATATTTTCTCTGAAAGCTCTACGCTGCCTGTGCTTTTCTCCTTTGTTTGGTCAAAAAGTGTCACGCCCCTGGAAGACGGGAGCTGCCCACCACCACTACTACTACTACTACTACCAGCAGCAATACCAGAGACCAGCATCGCCGTCCATTGAGCACTCACGCACTTCTTCCTCTCTTCTTCTCTCTTTTCCTCTCCGGCGCACGATCAAAATGTATTCTCGACCGTGTGTTGTTCTGCGCAAGGAGGGCCTCGTGGCCATCGAAGATTGGGGTTCCCAAGCCCCAGCAACAACAACAGCAACAGCAGCAGCAGAAGAAGCAGCGGCGGCAGCCCCAGCGGGACGTAAGTACCCACGTCTTTCCTCGTCTTCCTCGTCTTTCCTCGTCTTTCCTCGTCTTTCCTCGTCTTCCTCGTCTTCCTCTCTTCCCTCGTCCCATTATCATTTGTCTTTGCCAGATTTCGGATGGACTCTTTGCCCGAATACGTGTGGCTAATATAATATATAGACGTCCCAGAACAAACATGGGATGGCAGGGCGGCCGTATTGGCCAACGTTTTGCACGAGTGGGTGGCTCTGCCACATAGAAAGCTGGCTGGTGCCCGCAGGGCATATACCAATGGCCTGCAAACATTGCAGGATATGCGTTTAGTAAGTTCTTTTTTTATCCTTTCTTTCCTTTCCTCCCTCCCTTTTGCTTGGAGAAGGCTAATTCTTCTGGTGTTCAGACGTTCTCTAAGAGGCTTGAGATGGCCAGCGGCCATACTGGTCGATGTTCTGCGGGAGTGGGTGGCTCTGCCACACCGAAAGCTGACCAGTGTCCAAAAGGCATTCACCAACGGCCTTCAACAGTTGCATGAGTTGCGAATTGTAAGTTTCTTCCAGAGAATGTGGCAGCATCGCCACCGCCACCGCGTGAATACTCACGTCCTTCTGTCTCCCCTTTTCTTCCCATTTTGCTCCGTCAAGGTTAACTTTTCTAGTGTCTAGACGTTCCAGAAAGCAAATGGGACGAGAGAGCGGCCGTATTGGCCAATGTTCTGCGCGAGTGGGTGGCTCTGCCACACAGAAAGCTTTCGGGTGGCGGATGGAGCAACGGCCTCGGCCGACTTAGCGAAATGCGTCGAGTAAGTCTTTTTCTATCCTTTCTTTTTCCTTTCTTCCTATCTGCGATGAGACAAAAGTCTCACGACATACTATCATCCAGTCGAAGTGATTGTACAACAGTGCTAATAATACTTTTGCAGAAAGCCGCAGAGAACTTTCGCTCGAGGCCTCGGCCCCTTGACCAGCCCTCGCCGTCGCCGTCGCCTGCCGCCGCGCCTGCCGCCGCGCTCGCCCTCGCGCCCGCTCCCGCGCCTGCTCCCGTCGCTTCCGCCTCTGCCTCCGCGGCCGTCCAGACCATGCATCCGTTTTTCGCCCGCCGCCGCGCCCGGTCCCCGTCGCCGCCGGCTCCTGCCCGCGCTCCCGCCGGTGGCAGCGACGACGACGATGTCAAACTCGTTTCGTGGAAACGTATAAAAAAGACTTGAAGATAGGATGAAAAGATCATCCCTTGCTATCGACTGTATAATCAGTTATAGGTTATAAACATCGGATGCATTATGATATGGGTATGGGATATGGAACATGGGACAAAAACGGTGCTATAGAGCCTTTCCGGGTATTACGATACGATGGGATGGAGTAATCATCTGATCTGCTAATTCAACACGGGGCCTTTTCCTTTTTCCTTCGCCGCTCGCGCCCGCGCCCGCGCCTGCTCCCACCGTCGCTTCCGCCTCTGCCCCCGCGGCCATCCAGCCCATACATCCGTTTTTCACCCGCCGCCGTGCCCAGTCCCCATCGCCACCGGCTCCTGCTCGTGCCCTTGATCGCGCCCGCGCTCCCGCCGGTGGCAGCGACGACGACGAGCCGAAGATCCTGGCGTGGAAGAGCATTAAGAAAAACTAAGAACGATATGAAAAAATCATCCTTTGCTATAGACTATATAGAGCTCCCGGGTGATGGAAAAGTATAAGATAGGATTGCGGTTATTCACAAGACACGGGGCGGAAACACAACTATAGCTCTCATGGTTTATACGATTGGGGGGGTTCATTATCTGATCTGTTAATACAGACTGGGAAATTCTCCATTTCTATCTAATATTCTTTTAAGACCAGTTTGATTGACTACTACGAATCATGCCTTTCTATTCCCATACCAAACCAAATCCCTTACAAACTTTGCTACCATACACGTGCTATGCCCCTGCTGTATAAGACTCGGGCTGCCATGCATTAGCACAGCTCTGGTAGCGTCGGCGTATCGACCTTGATATCAACGAGAAGGTCCCCGATGCAGAGGTTTGCAGATAGGACAGCTTTGCAGCATGGTATTTGAGATCGTAGCCGACAAGACTCGCCGTCCAGACCCTTATGTCGTGGCCTCTCATGTTGGTCTCCACAAGCACTACGACGAAGCATCGAGTCTGGCTAATTGCATCGAGGCGCACGCTCAAGGGTCTCTAAAAGGGGAAACGGACACGCCTATAGTATAGAGAGCCACTCAACAGGATGGGAAGTAACAAAACGCAAGGTCCTTGCTGTGTCTCTGAAGCATATATACAGGCAAGAAGAATCATTGAGTTGTTAGAGGGCGCGGAGTGGGAATTGACAAGCAAACGCTTCCCCAAGCGTGCCTATCGTGTTGCTCGGTGACTGACATCAGGAACGATCACTAGCAACAAACCGTTCAAATGGTCGGCATCACATATCCTCAGGCAGCAAAGCCGCTCGCAAAGCTGATGAGATTCTACGACGATGCCAGCTTGATGCTCCAAAAGTACCCGTTCCTGATCATCGGACCTAGCCAGCGACCGGATCCATCGATGGTACTTCCGGAAACCCCCAACGACCACGACATGTGAGCAAGAGCTCACCAAATGCGACTTCTGCCTTGCAATCAACTATCACAGGACAACAATCGCGCAATGGCGTGGATCCGCGATACCGTAAGAGGTTTGCCGGTTGCACCTCTATCACCCATGCGCCTGGGCAGATCGGCACATTGTCCAGTGGTGGCAGGAGGTGAATGACCTGCATCATCTCTTTCAAGGCTCACCGAAGAATGCAACCTGCGAAAGGATCCTTGAATCTGTTGGTGTCAGGGATCTGGTCGAGGCTCTGGCTGAAGAGACGGGATCATGAGTGTTTGTACTTCATCCGATGCTCCTAGAGGGGGGGGATCTCAATCTGTCCGAGGTTTGGATGAATGGAAAGAGCAAACGGAAAGAAAAAGAAAAAGATGAGACGAATGATAGTCGTAAGCTGGAATAATTATTCAAGTCTTGATACTCCTAAGCGGCAAGTATAAAGACGCAATCGCGAATTGCTCCGAAATCATCATGGCAATATCCCAGTGTATGGGCTGTACCCGAGCCATCGTCTGGGAAAATGGTGTGACCATACATGTCTGGCGGGAGTAGCAAGGTCAGGACTATCTATTTTACGGTCAAGTCTGCGCTCCAAAGTGTGAAGCGGTCGGCGTGTCCCTTGTTGACAAGCTCTTCTCTTGATTGAGGCTCTTGCTGATGAAGTGGAGTCCTACATTCCCAATAGAATCAATCATCATGGCCGTAGCACTGGGGCGGGATGATCCGAGAACGATGACAATTGCTTTGAGAGTACGCTTTTGTCGTGTGAAGATGTTACCACTTATGTAATACGGAAGAGGTCAGCAGGCCCAAGGAATGGAATGGATGTGTCATTTTCAAAATACAAGTGCTATCATACTTGTAGCTGAATTCACAAGCTCGAATGATATCACTGATGTGGAAGGTTGTCGCGAAATTCCCGCTTAATGGTAGGATATGCGCCAGCGAGAATTGATGATGAGGGCATAAAATTTGTGTATATCGGCTTAGGGAGGAGGCATGCTTTCCCATCGAATAGTGAGCAAGTATGGATTTCATGAGTGCACAACTGATACACCGCATGAGAGCCGTCGGAGACTCAGATCACGAAGGATCGCAACCTTGCATCTGATTCACATGCCCAGCTAGTATGTGTAGATCGCAAAGACGATGTAGAGCAGTTGGTATGGCTAGTCTACGGCCCTGTGGGATATTTCGAGATGGCGATAGTAGTTCGTGACGTCCACTTTAATGGGCGAGAAAGGAAAGACTGTTGTCAGATGACTACAGCAACGTCTTAGACGTGCTTCTGATGCCCTCGACTGTGATACATACCCTCATCGACCCGGGGCTTGGCCTCCTCGTTGATATCTGGGTATGGTTCTTGGACAGCCCCGGACTGATAAGTTTGTACCTACGAGTTAGTCCTCGGCTCCCAGACACAGTCTCCGGTGTCCAGTGGGGTGTTCCACAGTCCCCACACTCGGCAATATTGCGGGAAGATCGCTCTCGCTAAGCCGCAGGTCCGCATTCAGCCACGTCAGCGCCTCCTCATGCCCACCTGCTATCTAGTTCGATTACAGCTTTCTTTTCCAACCGAGAGCTTGATTTGAATCATTTCTGCAGGCGTTGTGGTCTAGTGGTATGATTCCTGCTTTGGGGAGCTTCTCAAGCATGCAGGAGGTCGTGAGTTCATCCTAATCATCGTCGTCGTCAAACATTATACTAACATACATCTCAGCCGGGTTCAATCCCCGGCAACGCCCACCTTCAATCATTTTTTGCCCTTTTTTGCACTATGTCTTTATTGTCGAATACTCGTGTTACTCCTCAGAAGATCCGGGGTCAATCCAATCAATAATCGTTGAGATATGGTGATCTCCGCAGCGAGTATATTATGGTCGCGGAGGACTTTATACTATTTCTGCACCACAACCCCATGGCGCCTTCCATGAAACTAACGCGTGAAGTAATTCAATCGTGCCAGATCCAAAGCTCTTTTTCTTGAAATGCTTTCAATATAAGCATGGTGAGATGGTTGTGGTGAACAGCTTGGTCATGGTCACGGGCGCTCGGTCGCAGGATGAGGAGATGCGACGCCGACAGCGCTACCGAGGACAGATTGATGGGTACCACCGAATGACTGTATTGTCGCAAAGTTGTAGCGAGTTGTCGCTGACCGGTATCCTCGGTGCCAACTTTTCTTGATAGTCAGGCTCAAGTCTATATAACCGACTGCTGTAATAGGTGGCACTCACAAGAACTCTCAACTCATCTATTTATTGACTTGATTTTATATCACTGGCACCCGAAAGACTCGTCACATTTAGAGGAAGGATTTGATGAATTCCACCGTTGCTTATAAGACAGGCGCATGCCGTACACCAATCCATATGTACCTGGACACTATGGTCCATTCTGATTCGGCTTGGATCACAACTAGGACTTATGATTATCATTTGGCTATTACTCTCGTCCCCCGACATTGTTTGCAACCTTCTGACGAAAAAAAGCTGCTCGGTAAATGTGTATATGCATACACTGCCCAGTCATATTCTATGAGTCGTCGATTGCGCCTTTCCAAATCATTTTACATCAATCGAAACAACCATACCAGTAAGCCAGAAATAACAATGGAGATAGGACTTGAAAACTCTCCAATGTTTCCCGATGTGTTTTAATTGAGGCGAAATGATACAGCTGGGTATTTAGTATGGTGACCATTGATCGTGGTCCTTCACTCCGATAGCGGGGCAATTGTCGATCCAGTCAACATTTTTGGCGGGGCACTTTCCAGTGTGGAATTCGAGGACGACTCAAGTGACGCACCATTCTTTCTGCGCCCTGCGATTCGTAGAGATTCTTTTTTTACCTCAAGTATATCCCTTTCGACGTTTCTAATCGACCCTCCGAATATCCCCCCCAAAATGGCGTCGCAATTCCCGACAAAGAAGGTCGGCGTGCTGGGTGCCACCGGCTCCGTTGGCCAGCGCTTCATCCTCCTGCTCCAGAACCACCCTCACTTTGTCCTCCAGGCCGTCGGCGCCTCTTCGCGATCCGCTGGAAAGAAGTACAAGGATGCCGTGCGGTGGAAGCAGGCCTCTCCCATGGGCAAGGTGGCCGACCTGATCGTCAAGGAGTGCAAGGCCAGCGAGTTCTCCGAGTGCGACATTGTCTTCAGCGGTCTGGACTCGGATGTGGCAGGCGAAGTTGGTGAGTAGTGCCGTGAGAGGAGGAGACAGTATATCGTTCAGCTTGGCTAATACCTGCGCTCCCCAGAGATGGAATTCATGAAGGCCAACCTGGCCGTCTTCTCCAACGCAAAGAACTACCGCCGCGACCCCCTCGTGCCGCTCGTCGTGCCGACCGTCAACCTGCCTCACCTCGACCTGATCCCGCACCAGCGCAAGCACCACGGCCTCAAGGAGGGCTTCCTGGTGTGCAACTCCAACTGCGCCGTCATCGGCCTCGTCATCCCCTTTGCCGCCCTGCAGGCCCAGTTCGGCGAGGTCGACACCGTCTCCGTCGTCACCATGCAGGCCGTCTCGGGCGCCGGCTACCCGGGCGTCAGCTCCATGGACATCATCGACAACGTCGTGCCCTTCATCTCGGGCGAGGAGGACAAGCTCGAGACCGAGGCCCGCAAGATCCTCGGCGGCATCCGCGACGACAAGACGGCGTTCGTCGAGCAGGAGCACCTGCGCGTCTCCGCCGCCTGCAACCGCGTCCCCGTCCTCGACGGCCACACCGCCTGCGTCAGCTTGAAGTTCAAGCAGCAGCCCCGCCCAAGATCGAGGACGTCAAGGCCGCCCTCCGCAACTACGTCAGCGAGGCCCAGAAGCTCGGCTGCCCCAGCGCCCCCGAGCCCAGCATCATGGTCTTTGACGACGCCGACCGCCCCCAGCCCCGTCTCGACCGCGACCTCGGCCGCGGCTACACCGTCAGCGTTGGCAGAGTCCGCGAGGACGAGAGCGGCATCTTTGATATCAAGTTTGTGGCACTGAGCCATAACAGTAAGTCACTTTCGTTCCAATAACCAAGCATGTCGCTGACATTCTTCAAGCCGTCATTGGTGCTGCCGGCTCCTCCATCCTGAACGCCGAGGCAGCAGTCCTCAAGGGCTTCATCTAATATTGCATCTTCTGGGCGTTCGAATGGCAATCACCGAGCCATTGGGGTGTGAAACAAAAAAAAATATAGAAATGGATCTATACACTTGGTCAAGTGGCTGATCTGGGTAAAATTCATCTGATCTCAAGCCTTACTAGATGTAGGAAGGGTGAGATAACGTATCGAGATAACATATCTAAACGAAAGCATGAATAGACAAAAACACTATCAAAATTTCTTGGTCCTCTCTTGTGTCAATCCATTGTGTGAGCATCCTGAGTGCGCCCTCATTACTCTAAGATGATTTGATTTGATTTAGTTTTCCGACTCCTCTTGTATTTCCCATTCAACGGTTTCAGTATCTTCTATCCTCCAACTCAGAACACCCCTTTCCCCTTTCAAATTCGGCGACGTCGACGAACGTGGTCTGCTAGTCGAGACGATGGGCGTCATCGGCCTCGAAGTCCAAAGCCTCTCCGTTCCATCGAAAGACGCGAAAGGCAGAAGCCAAGACACTTGGACCTCTGGAAGGGAGGTGGAAATAAGAAGCGAAGAGGTCTCGACCTCTGAGAGGGGAGTGTAGACAAGGGCCGTAGAGGGTTCAGCCTCTGGGCAGTACGGCTCGCTTCTACCTTGGTGTTGGAGACGTAATCATCACACTTTGGTCATTCTCTCAGGCAGCGAGGTGGTCATATCGATCGAGAAGTGTTCACGCTCGATGGGCCCGGGCTTCCTTGGTGGAAGAAGGAGCGTGGGGGAGAGGATGCCGAGCCGGCAGAGGTCCAATCCTCCGTCTGCCGCCCAAAAGGCAATCAGTCCCTCTTGAAGACCGTAGTGGTTGCTGTTGGCGGCAGTGTGAACAGTGCTGAGCTCAAGAAGGTATCAAGTCATACCGGGGTTCGATTATTCTGGGCTGGAAATGATTTCCTCTGTCGAGGTTTGCAGTAATGTCAAAAGGACGCTTGTTTGAGAGTATCGGGAAGTTCGTAAAAAGGTCTGCGGCACGAGACTGTACCGATATTGGAGGCGCATACAGGAAAGAGAAGAAGTTGCAGCGCCATGGTGATGCAAATGCTCTGTGGAAAAGGGACTATCTACAATACTGAGAGCCTACATAGAAAAAACGCCTCGAAGACAATTGTAGTTTACCATGGGAAAGCTTAGATCTTTGGCCGGCCATCACATGCCCTTTTGTCAAGAGGCCATGGGTGCTTTTCTTGTCCTTTCTGGGCTATTTTATACATCAAAGCCCCCTGCAATCAGTCCTAATCTATCAAGCAATCGCGACTGATGAGTCCTGCCTTGCCAATTAAAGATCGTGAGTCTCACGACAAATCTCGTCAGCGATGTAAATATTTGATACCAGCATACAATAAGGAATATGAGTACTAGGCCGCCGTGTTATATTTGCTTTGCTTGCACATTTGGTTGTCCTGGCAGTTTGTCAGACGAAGATATTGATTTCAACCCATGTATTGTAGATGATTTCCATTGCTACTGGAGCAGCTCCGCAGGGAAACGGTCAGACACATCACAATCTGGTCGACACTGGCTTAGTTCTTCTTCATCAAACGCCCCGTGAATATCAACAAGATTTCAATTGGTCTTCAGGTATATACATGCAAAAAGTCAACTCCGCAAACAAAAAAACGTTGAAAATACCCGATGAACCCAATTCATAAGAAAAACAAAACCAGCCCGTTTTTTAGTCTACCCCGATTGATCTATTCCGGCAGAGGGATGCCTTCAAACTCTGCGTAACCGCGTGCCAAGTTCATGTTTTCTGAAAGGAAAAATGTTAATTTATGATCAATCAAGACGAGTTTGTGTAGATTGTATAACTTACGTAAGCATTGCGTTGCTGCTCCCTTGAGCAGGTTGTCAATGGTGGCACAAATAACTACCCTCTTCCCCGAGCTGTGCACGGCAAAGCCACCAATCTCGACATGGTGCTTTTGGCTGATGCCCTTGACCAGAGGCGCCTCGCCAATGACCTTGACGAGCTTCTCTCCGGCGTAGCGGTCCTGGTATATTTGTCTAATCTCCCTCGAGGTCATGGTCTGCTTGAGGGGGATGTTGATGGTGTGGTGGATACCCTGGAACCACCGGGCAACGTGAGGAGTGAAAGCCACGGGGGTACCCAACTGAGTGCTGATCTCCTTCTCGTGAATGTGGTCTGTCAAGCTGTATGGGATCAGATTGTGCTCGAGGTTGTTGATGTCGTTCTTGGGCGAAGGCTTGGTGCCAGCGCCAGAGTAACCGGAAACACCAAAGACGGTGGGAGAGCCGCCGAGGAACTCTACCAGGGGTGCGATACCAAGCTGGGCACCAGTGGCGTAGCAACCAGGGTTGGCAATGCGCGTGGCCTGAGCGATGTCCGAGCGCTTGATGAGCTCGGGGAGACCATACGTCCAGGAGTTGTCGAATCTGTAGTCCGCCGAGAGGTCAACGACGACGCTGTTGTCGTCGCGCTCGCCGACCTTGGCGCGAGCCTGGTCAATGGCGTCCACGTAGGGCTTGCAGACACCGTTGGGCAGAGCCATGACCCAGACGTCAATGTCGCCGCGCTCCTCCATCTGACCGACCTCCTCGACGCTCAG